AGCCCATGACGAACACCTTATTTCATTCGGTTCGGCTGCACCTTCCGGCGAAAGCGACCCGATTTTCTCGATGTTTTTTGTCATGAAGGGTGCCTTACGCATTTTCCTCTTGACGATGAACTGAGACTTTCTGATGACCCTCCTAACAGTGTCCTTTGAGACATTGAGGTTCAGTGAAGATCGGATTTCCATGCAGGACTGGGTGGAGTTCGACGCTTCTCAAAATACGGCGCTTGTCTCTGTCGGAAAGGAGCAAAGGACGTCCAGCACTTCTTCTGGTTCCATATTCTTCAGGATTCTTGATGAAGTTATCCAGAACTGCGTGAGATGGACCCAAATCTCGCGCGATTCTGCGATTTGACAATCCCTGCTCCTTTTTCGCGAGGATTTGACCTTTCTCGAAATCCGAAGGCATGCTTTCTCTTCTCATTGCCTGAAAATGAAGAACATTACATAATCGAAGCAGTTTCGTTGCGTTGAACTAAAAAACGACACGAAGACATCAAGATCGAGATGTATCATTTTGCGACGTTGGAAAAGCACCCTTTATTGAAAAATTGACCAAAAAAAATATTTGTGTTTTCGAGCTGGAATTTGGTGATAATGTGCGAATTGCAATTCAAATTTGACACATTTTTTAATTTGGCAGTTTTTCAGAAACATCATATACTGTGAGTTTTTGGGAAAATTAGAGGTGGCTGTATCATTTTGCGACGCACTGTATGTTAATTCGCATGGTGCATGTATGTTAATTCACATAAAACGAGACTGCCTGAATCTTATTCTACGTCTTACGGCCTTGATCAACGGTACAATTATCAAGAGGAAATTTATAGTCCAATGGCGACAGATTCTCAGTTATCCTATGCTATAAAGACACGTCTAAGATTTCGACCATTTCCACAGCGGTTCACTAACTTTTGCAATTCCAGTATCGTTTCGTAAAGTCCCTGAGTAAGTGTGGACCGAACCCTCCCAGAGAGGGTTGTGGTCGGATAAGTCATCCGACTGCCGTTTACCGTAAGTGGTGCAGGGAGCTGCCGAAGACACTATTTGACTGTCCAGTCCGGGGTATGGTGGCGTACATGTATATATGGTCAGTAAAGCTAAAACCTTTTTTATTGATTTGCTATTCCCCGGAATCCCAAATAGTGAGGGAGTTTTGTAGATGCCCAATTTTATGCCCAAAAACGTCTTGCAAGCGTTTAGGACGCACTTTATGGAAAAACACAACGAGCGCATGCATCAAGGAACCGTGTCAACCTATTAGTTCATATCAGCTGCGCTACCGTGTCACAGTTTCGTCTTCATTTAGCAGATTTCGTTTAGCAGATTTCGAAGATAGATTTGAGGTTCAGCGTTCAAAGCCACCGACGGGGGGTATACATCTCATCTTGAATAGCCTCTGCGAAAAGTTACCCTTTCCTTATCAGTCGTTCGTTCTAAAAGGCCTGAAGGCTTCTCGAAACTTTAGAGTATTGTCAACCACGTTTGGCGCAGACCAACTCTTAGCTAGCTGCGGTTCAGACTAACGAACTTCCAAGTAAATAGGAATCCCACCAAGTCAATTCCACCAACAGCGTCTATTCAACTTCGGAGACGATGGAGGAAGTGAGAGTACCTGGTCAACCACGACCCGTTAATAGTCGTAAGCTCGCACGTATAAGTTCTCACCATCTAGCTTTTACAGTAGAATGTCAGGCAAGGGGCATGCTTGGGTTCCGGCGCTATCCACACAGCCTTCAGGGTTTTTCTGCCATCAGCTCTCCTTTCGAAGGCCAGAATCTTGCGCTCAACGACAAGTTGCAACCACCACGGCTGTCTTTTCTGTGCTTGCCAAGCAGTGGAACTATGCAGTTCCATCGTTTGCCTGCTGTTTATTCTTTAACATGAGGGCATAATTGTCTGACAGTTTCTCCAATATAACAAGCATCACATTTCAAACACTGATGCTTCTTTACCACAGTTCTATATGCACAGTCCCATATTTTTATATACATTTGCTTTGATCTTCACATTGGGTGGTCCACTCCCCGTCCGTCATGTTCCCCTCTTTTTTCATCTTGACTACGGAAATTGACCCAGATTACGCTCATTCCACTCAAGCTCCCCTACATACACTCTGAGCCTGCCGCGAGCAGTTCAGCCGCTTTCAACCAACTACCATCAGTATCCTAATCCTGTCGCCTCGATCCCCACCAATTTTTAACGCCTCATGTTCAAATCAACAATTTTCGTATATACCCCGCTTCAGTGGATGGAGTTCAGTGTTTCATTAATCAACAGTGTTCCCATCGTACTGCCTATACTCATGCCAGATTTGAACTCTCTGGGCCCAAATCAACAATTTCGCGCAGGGTTTCCCCCTGTGGAGGGAATCTGTTAGACCTGCCTACTTTCACCTTCCACCAGTGTTCCACCCTATTTCCTGTACTCCACCAAGTTTGAACACTCCAAACCCGAACTAACGATTTTTAGGCTAGTTCTGCCCCCAGTGGGCGTAGTTTAGTCCTCTCCATACTGTCGGCTGTACTCCTGGCAAATTTGAACGCTTCAGATTACGTTTACAGTTTTCGCCTGCCCCGCAACTTGTAAGCGTAATCTAGTCCTGGTACCTATTAGCGGTATTCCCATCCTGCCTCCTGTTTTCCTACCAAAATGAAGAGCTCTAGGCCACGGGAAGAGAATTTATGAGTTTCAGCCAAGCATTTAATTCGCGCAAGCCCCGCCCCGTCCGACCGCCTGTATTCATACCAATTTTGACGTTTCATAAATATAAAGTCACCCTCAAGTTTTTCATTTCCAGAACAAACGGTCAAGTAGATGATTTTCAAACACTACTATCAGGTTCACCACCTTTGATAACCCACTCACGGATATTTTATTAATCACCTTCTACCATAACATTTTCATAAATAGTTTTGGTTTCTCCACCGTTTCATAAGTACTTATAAGGTCACTTAGAGAATTTGAAAAAAATAACATTTATACCGGCATAAAAAACAAGTACATAGTAGTCGATGGCTGCTCTTTGTTCTAGCCTACGTGGCAAATTTGAAACGAGGTTTTGAAGTATCTCACTGGAGATTCCTTGCTAAGACTCAATTATTGCATGGTTGAGCTCTTCTGTTGTCGGAACTGACGGTCGTTCGTATAGAACTTTTTTTACAAAGATGCCTCACAAATTCTCCATATGGTTCATAATAGATCGGGGCTGCAAGCTGGCCATGGCAGAGCTTCGATATTTTGGGGATGCAAACGAAGTGACCCGCGACAAGCGTGACTAACGTGATCGGAGCAATTTTTGTTGAAAAACATAGTTAAGACCACGTCGCGGGTTGAGAAATGACACCAGGTGCAGAAGGAATCCCATAACGTGACACCTCCTCCTCCAAAATTGACGGCTAAAGTTGACCTGTTCTTTTTCGCAAGTCACGTCAGCGGTAGTTGTAACCTTGTTGACCGTACAAATTACATATCTTTTCATCGAAAACTACGACCTGAACAAAGATATTTGACTGTATGGAGTCTATAATACGGACTCACCTTCGTTCAATCTCTTCCCAAATTCGCAAATTAAAGCCGTGCTTTCCTGTGGTTGTCGGTAAGCCTCGGAGGCCTTTTCATTACTGCTGTGACAATGTCGCTCCTCCTTTTCAAGGCTCGCCATACACAATGACAAGGTACCGTTTCGAGATAGCTCTAGAATTTCCTCCTCCGCTTGCAGCTTGAGCGGGCGTCCTGTCTACGAGGGATCACTGAGGACATCGCCGGTCTTCAACTATCTTCAAACGAAGCTGAAGAATTCTCCGATTTGCATCCCCTTTCCTCTCAATTCGAGCCCTATATCAGGAAGATTTCGATTTTGTGCTTTTCGTCTAAAGAAATATGATAACATAGGCTAGCCACAAAATTCTTATCGGTCGTTTAAGAGACAATGGACAACTCAGGAACACTGAACAAACCTTGAGATAGTTCTGATTGATTGAACACTAGCGATTTTGCCTTTGATCTGAGTTCTTCACAGAACGTTATAGTGCTAATTAAGGCCGGGAGTTTGCACTGCTTCATGTATACTGACATTCATCAAAAACCTTTTGCTGAACGAACACTTTTGCTCGTGCCAATAACATCAGTGAGTCGATATCTTCAAAATTTAGTGATTGCTATAGAGAATCGTTTGTAATGAATGCAGAAGTCACGGATAATGGTCACTACTCATTTAAACACGCTCGTGCTCTTATCAAACAACACCGCAGATGTCAGAGGTCATGATTTCTATCTCACTACGGAGAACCACAACACAATGCTTGCATGGAAGAAAGCATTCGAAAGGCAAATTGATGACTGCGGTAAGTTTGATGTTGCGGGAATACGATAGAGCTCTAGTTGTGATTAAGGGAAAATAGTAAAGCAGAAGCAAAAAAGAGCCAGTTCCATATCCTATCATGGCTGGGAGGAGGCGCCTGGGAACTAATTAATATTAACGTGTACCTGTCATGGCCTCATGTCACAGTAATTGTGTCATGGCAGCTGGGCATGAAAATACTCAAGAAACCTAACAACAGTATCATTGAGTAGAAGGAATGTCGTGTCCGATTTGCCACTGTTTTTATCTCTTTCTTCAATCTCTACATCAAGATGAAAAGATGTTTTCAGCAATATGGGGTAATTTTGCCTATCGCGCTACGAAACTGACGTCAGAAGAGCCCACCGATCCCGTGAAGGAAACTCTTAGCCGAGCTGAAGGAAGTCGATTGTACGACAAGATCAGTATAGAAGGTGAAACCTTCATAGAATCAGCTTACCGATTACTAGTTTCTATTTTCCAGATAAATTTTAGATTTGCTCTCAATTGAAGATTAGTTGTTGATCGAATGAGTTCTAGTGATAAAGCACATGTCAGAAACAAGGCGAAGCGCGTGTCTTGTCCTTTATCGCCATCTACAGTCGCTCCTAATCCTCCGCTTCGGTTATGACTTTGAAGATTTTTACATTGTCGGCATACATTTTTGTTGAAACATCTAACCCATGAAACAAACTAAGTATCTCAGCTGTGTATATATTAAACAACACCGGCGACAGGACTCCCTCTTGCGGCACTCCACTCAGCACTCTCCTAGTTTCGGAGAAACTCTGTCCTACTCGCACTCGGAAGGTCCTGCCGTGGAGGAAATCATAAATCCAGTTTACGAGAGCGGGATGGAAGCCATACATCTCCAACTTATCAAGCAGTCTACTGTGAGGTACTCTATCGAAGGCTTTCGCAAAGTCGAAGTATATAACGTCACAAAATAGACTATTATCGGGAACTACGGTCCAGTCCTCAAGGCTTTCAATCATGTTCGTCTCCACCGACCTTTCAGGGATAAAACCATGTTGGACACGTGGTATTATTCTGTTAGCCACAGCATATTCGAGTGTGCGTTCTTTAATCGTTTTCCAGCGTGCAGGAACCTCCCCCTTCATTATATATATATTTATATATAAATATACATATAAATATATATATATACAAATATATATATAAATATATATATTTATATATATATTTATATGTATAAATATATATATATATATCATGAAGGGGGAGGTTCCTGCGCGCTCCATATGTATATACCTATATATATACCATCTCAGCCGCCATCTTTATATGGGGCGAACCGAGCCTCCATCCCACCGAGGTCGGTGAGTTGATACCACCAGACTCGTATGAGAGGATAAAAGCACTGTTTTGTACATAAGCTGGCCACCGCAGGTCATTGTATAGATCACATGTGCATTCAATACGCTTCTAGGATTCCAAATAAAGTCGAATGGCTGGGCACATCCTCTGGCTGGACTTTTTAACGCTCAAAGACTAATTTGAGACTTACATATATCCTCCATGTGTTCGAATAACAACATGCATTGAACGTTATGCCTTGCGGAACGAATAGGAGTGACGTTTTTTCCAGTAGCAGGTACACAGCAAAAACCATCGAAGATTCAATATTAACAGAATGCTAACTGAGCGACCGTCGTAATCGGCTTTGGTATAGCATAGATACCATCATTTTCTTTGTTGGAACAATGTTTTAGAGGAAAACCTCTTCCGTGAGTAGGATGATTCTGTGATTTGTACAAATTCATGTCGATGAAGAATTGTACGGCCCTCGGTCCCGATGCGATCAAAGCAGAACATCTTGAGTCTCCCTCAGTTGTCGTCAGAATTCTGGACTAGGCCTTCAAGCGGCACCTGTTGGGATGCAAAGCACTCATTTTTAGGGAAAATAGCAAGACAGTATTGCTGTATAAGACGGGGAACCCGACAATGTGGCAACTATTGCCCAGTCTGCTTGTTTGTAATCTACAGGGTATAAATACGGTAACAACTTTTCGGACCTCCGTAATTTCCTTGTATGGAGCGTTCCTCTAAATCTGCACCTTCCCTAATGTTTATGACATACCTTAGGCCACATATCTGGTCTGATGCTCTCATTTTACCAGATTTCGAAAAAAGGTGAAGGTCGCAAACATCTACCAACTGTTACGTCTTTACGCGCATTTGGTGAATCCCTTTCCGGGGCCGCTCCTCGTTTAAACATTTCCCACGCGACAGTATCATGGATCGCGATGCATGGGCAGGTCAATGGTCATCTTGTCCCACATACTACCCCTTACCCGAATGCAATTGCATGGGAAGAAGCACGCTCCGGAACCTGCAGAAACGTGAGAAAAATGACTGCTGATTTGTTTGTATGTTCTACTCCGATGAGAAGAGTCTGCCCCGAGTAAATACATTGTTTCCAGATAGGACTCGGATGCTTCATAAGTTTCTTGACGTGGAGAATCTGGAGAGAAAAAGGAAATGCCATGCGCTACATGCGCGCAGCACACTTGTTTTTGGCTAAAGGGTGTTCAGAGTGGAAGAAGTTTTGAGATCCCAGAGTATACGTAAATTTCATACTAAGAGTGCTGAAGCCGCTGAGAAGAGTCAGATCGCCTCTCATAGCCATTCTCCCTCTTTTATGATGGTTTAGGCTAGAATCTCTTCCACCAGAGCGATATCTCAAATTTTGGACATGGAAAGCGCGAAATTCAATCCATACCCCTTATATAAAGGTTTTGTGAAAGGATGCGCCTGAGGGGGTAAAGGTTCCTCTAGGGATATGTTTCGAAAACTACGGCGCCCTCGCGGCGCGAATGGGAAAAGATCAAGACTGGTACAGAGGAAATGCTCGCGATTTCATCCCAGCTTCCAATCCTCATACGAATTTCCCGAACCACAATGTCATGGGTCGCTGGATATAGTCCATACTGGAGAGGAAAGCCCGCGTTTTAAAGCGCACCACTGATGCTGCTCCTGAGAAATAAAAAAAAGCCCCCGGGCTGGAGTTCCTCAAGAAACTCTGCGTGCCACCGTCGATGAGTTGCCGAAGTGTGCTCGAGCTATTAGTCCAGGAAATGGTTATATAGGATCAGTGTGTATTCGTTTTGTAGATGCGATGCATAGTAAGTAACTCACATGGATTCACCATGTAACAATAAGAACTACGGTTTCTGGAGCGCAATTCTTTTGTTACCATATTTATAGCGCATCCTGTGTAAACTTTTCACACGAGCCATCTTTAACAGGATTGGCAGATTATTGATGGAGGACAGCAGGGTGTTCAAGAATGTTTTAGTACAATTAATCACATCCACACGTATTCTAACAGGACTCGCTGAAGTATCGCTAGAGTACAAAGTGCCGTATGCCTTACGTTCATCGATTTAAAGGAAGCCTTCGATACAGTCGAGACAGAAGCGGCAATCGAAGCCTTGGACAACGGGGGTGTTCCTACTCAAGATAAAAGGATGCTTCATGAGCTCTACAACAGCTTCACGACAAGGATCTCGCCATTCTAGAAAGAAATCACCATTAACGTGAGGAGGAGTGTGGTAGGGCGAAACAGTTCAGTTTAAACCATTGTGTGCCGTCCTCGAGAACATCATTAATCATCAACATCAACAACGCGTCATTCAGAATTGAATGACTAAGGAGCGAAGGTCGACGGCCGCTATTTACATTCATTTACACCACCGCTTTGCAGACGACATCGTGCTTATAACACCGAACATCGAGCAGAAGGGTCCAATGCTTCGACAATGGTTGTGGAAAGATCGGTTTCAGACTGAACTTAACGAAAACAATGTTCATGAGAAACGGATCGATACCTGATGTTCCCTCTGCGCTTATTGAGAGGAATATCTCTAAATGCGGGGCGGAGGTGGTGTAGTGGCAATTGACGCACTATGACTCGCACAATGAATTGCCCACAACAAGTCATCGTATAGACCTTTTACGCACTCTTTACGCTGCTACGATTCTGAATGAAAGTCGAGTGCGGGGGCGCATCCCTCAGACGGGATCAATTAGCGCCAGAGGACTTGATAAAAGGCTTTTAAAGAAGTTTATCACTGCATGCACCTGCGTGTATCTAAAACGAGAAGTGAACATGATGAGCGACCAAGCTGCAGAGCTGGGCAGAAGGAAGCGCGCCATCATTTGGGGATCATTTGAGAATATCGTGAGAGCAGTGAAGACGACACAAAATGTGCGACTTTGCGCTTATCTTTTCAAAATTAGCGTCCTTCCTGCTTTGACGTACGCCTCAGAAACTTCGACTCTATGGAGGCAGGGTGAGCGTGAGGGCAGGTCACTTGATGCGCTCTGGAAAGGAAGACGCTCGGAATTTTCCTATCCACGCAGAAGGGAATCCGGAGTTTCGAGCTCCGTCAACAAACGGAGATCACGAGTGTCGTCGGTTACGCCAAAGAGTCGAATCAGGTTTGTCGGTCGCGTTATAGGATATGACCGTTGGACCAGGCCGGTCATGGACTGGGTCCCTGGGGACGTCAAACGAACATTAGAACGCCCGCCCGCCCGACGATCAGATTTCTACGAATTCCCTGTACAGAAGGATTATACTCTACTATATAAAGCGCGCAAAGGGGGTCTGATGGTTTTTNTGTCTGAGTTTGACCGGAAATTCATAACTCCTGCTCCCGTTGACTTAGATAGTTCACGCTGTGAAGGAATACAGGCGCCAGAATAGAGACACTCATGGTCGACGGCAGGTTCCGACTCCGCCCACAGGGGCTGGTCCTCGCGAATTAAATGTTTGGCAGGGAATCCGTGACTCGTGTTCCTGTGGAGATAGAGCGTTCTAATTTGGTAGAGAAACAGGGTGCAGGATGGGAACACCGATTTTGATGGCAAGACGAAACCTCGTTTATAGGGTTTTGACCTAGAGCACTCAATTTTGGTAAGAGTGCAGGCGTCAATATGGGGACACTGATGATAGATATTAGGATATGACTGAGCTGAACTTCACCCACGGTGAAGGGGATGAGAGGAGGCGAGTGGTGGAAAAGAACGAAATGTAAAATGAGTGCGATTCGGATAAAAAAACCGAACCAAGTGGAATTAAGTGGGGAATGAACCGAGTCACCCTAACTCACAAGAACTTAAGCAGCTCCGCTCAAAGCCTTGCTCAAGTTCGGATGAAGCTCGCACGGAGTGGATCGGATGCTGATGCATTAGGTCCTCTTCTCCCGAATCAAAGCGTTCAGATATGAAGTGGGTGGAGGCGAAAGAAAATATGGAAGTACTGCAGACAGAGGGACCGATTTTAACACGGTAACACGGGATGAAGGAGAATCCGAATATATATATATATATATATATATATATATATATATATTTTCGCGGCTTTTTTTTCTCCCGATAGAATATGAATGTTGAGTTCGGGTTCTTTCTAGAAATGATCTACTTGATTTCCTCTACAAATATGTACCTAGAAAACCATCCGCATATTTGCAAAATCAGGCTCTACTACTTGGAGAAAGGTTGGGAGTAGGCAGAGTCCTTCCGCGATCCCAGTAACTTTTTTTAAACAAATTTTATTTAACGAAACGGCAAAAACGCTGAACAAAAACATTTCCATATAACTACTCCGGAACTTATTCACCATTTTCGTCAAGCACTGCTTTCCATTGGCTAGATAATCTCATTCCAAAAGCAAAGACGTTTCGATATTTGGGGGCGATCCACGCCTTGACATCGGCGATCAAGTCATTCAAATCGACGTAAGTTTTATTACCCAGCCATTTTTCCAGCGAACGGTTGACGAGATAATCCATAGCAGTATCTGCTGATGAATATGGCAGATTTAGGGGCAGATCCCATGTCCTTGGCTTTGGCTGATTGTTCCTTCGCCGAGAAGTTACTGAGATCGCGGAATGACTGTGCCACCTTCCAACCTTTCTCGGTGTAGTAGAGCCAAAGTTTGCGAATATGCGAATGGTTTTCTAGGTACATTCTTGTAGAGAAAATCAAGTTGATCATTTATAGAGAAAACTCGAACTCAACCATCAAACTCTTTCGGAAAAAAAAGCCGCGAAAAAATCCGCAATAATTATGCATCAACCTCATATATATATACACATATATATGACAGGTCGTCAATGTTCAGAAACTTCTGAGGCAGAAATGATCTAATAATTCCACTTCATTCGCTATTAATTAGTTGCAAAAGTAGGTTTGCTCGCGACATGTACAGTTACTGGAGTTAGGTTTCAATATCTTTAAGATGGGCAGGGTTAATTCAGTACCACTTGCAATCATTTGCATACAAGAGGCGAAAGGGCAAAGCAAAATTTCTTGTCGTTGCAATAATGAAAGCACAGAGGGCCTCTAGAATAGTCCGCTTGTGAGTCGATTGTAATTATGTGTGGCCCATCAAAAGGGGGCAATCGTCGGAGTTGTGGAGATGGCAGATCGTAAAGCAGAAGCCTCATTGCCGTAACTATCATATACAGAAATGCTATGCATTTCCGACCTCAACAGACGTGAGTGTATCACCTGCTGTACCGTTGATCACATTTCCTCGAGCTGGTGCCAGTAACGTCTCCATTTGTCCCTTTCTCCAGCCAGAGTGGTCCTGCGAATCGTTCTCGCTTCAGGGGCACGACGCTCAGTATTCCCTTCGTTCGAAGCTCTCGTGAAGAAGTATGACCATCGCGTTGTCGACCTTAACGTCCCGAGGATCTATCCAGTAACGGCCCTAATCCAACTGCCATCACGATATCGCACATATAGTGTCCCGCTAATCCGATTTTCGATCTCTTGACGTTGAAGTCTCTGATCTTAATTCGTTGACGAACTTGAAACTCCTGATTCCCTTCTGCACTTGCGTGTGTGGAGGGGCCACACCCTTTCCACAGCGCGTTTTGTAAAGGTAACAGCATATTCATCCTGCTTTCGTAAAACCAAGTCTCCGAGGCGTATGTACGTCAAAGCAGGAAGGACTGCAGTTTCGAAAAGATGAGCGCGGAGTTTGTCGTCTTCACTGCTCTCACGATATCCTCAAATGATCCCCACGGCGGCGCGCTTCCTTCTGCCCAGCTAGGCAACTTAGTCGTTCATCGTGTTAACTTCTCTTCCTAGGTACACATTAGTGCTTGCAGAGATATCCCTCCTCTTTAGCGTAAAGGGAGCATCAAGTACCAATACGTTTCACACGAACATCAAGTTCAGTCTCGAGTCGATCTTTCCACAAGCAATGTCAAGCATCCGTTCCACCTGCTCGGTATTAGGTGCTATAGTATACAGTATGTCGTCTGAAGCGGAGGTGATGTAAATAGCGGCTGTCGACCTTCACTCCCCAGTCTTCCTACTTCAAATGGTGTTTAAGTTTCCGAGAGCAGCACTGAACTGCTCCGGCGAAATAACATCGCCCTGCCGAACACCTATCTTCACGATGATTATGACCTTTTGGAATAGCGAAGTCGTGGTCGTTTTTCGTAAAGCATCCTTATTCTTTGAATAGGCACACTATGGTCGCCGAGGGCTTCAATTCCGCTATTGCCACGACTGTATCAAAATCCTCCTTCAAATCAATGAACGTAAGATATGACGGTATACGGTACTCTCGCGATATATCGTGAGCTTGTAAAAATGTGGTTATGATCGATTGTACTAAACCATTTTTGAAACCCTGCTTGCCCGCATGGCTGTCCTTCTTCTAATATTCTGCCAATCCTATTGAAAATGTCGCGATATCTCGTGTGAAAAAATTGTAGATGACAGCGGACGATAGCTGCCATTATCCTCACTTTCTCTCTTTTCACACAGCAATAGAGTCTTGCTAGGTTTCCACGACGTGAGCACTTTGCATTCTGTCAGATACCGTGTGGAGAGCCTAGCCAGAGTTCTAACGATAACTTGAGGAAGACTCCTTAGATGTTCGATTTGAACCTATCGGAAGTGGGCCCGTAACCATGTGATGGCATGTCGCATTTCGGAAGGGAGAACCGAGGGAACGACATATTCGGCTTGTCTAAAATAGTAGGTAGGCAAGTAGACGTGGATGTCGAAGAAATCTGAGAAGAATTTGCTCTTCGAGATGTAGTAACTTTCCGTCAGGACGACGAAGGGAAGTCATCTTGGTCTTGTAATTGGCGAAGCTCCGTCGGGCTTTGCGAATGTTCTTTCCGGCCTCGGCGGCTTCCTCCATAATTGCTACTCTTCTCTCTTTCAGATCTTNTAGCTTCGCAAGTTCGGACGTTTGTTGATGATTGCCTTTAGCTCGCGCGATACCATGCTGGCGTATCAGCTCGAGAGTGTTCGAAGAGAGCCGTTTCTCGGTTTCTTGTAGATACTCTGCTTTCCTAGCGCTATCATAAAGATTTTCGACGATCTCCTTATAGTCCTCTTTGATGTTGTCGGTAACAGAATCGTCCCAGAGACTCGTATAGGGAGCGAAGTGGATCTTGGGGCTTCGTTTTCTACACTTTATAACTCCTTCTTGACGCACTGACAAGCAGAATGTAGCGCGGAGGAGGCGATGATCCGTTCCCGTGAAGAACGTATCATGTCGACCAACACTATCAATGCTAACGCGCAGTTACGGGAGCCCTCTTACTTGCGATGGACATCGGAGTCACCTGGTGGACAGTTCCATAATGAAATGAATCACATCCCCTTGATTCAAAGTTTCGCCTCACTGACGTCGCTTTTGTCCCAAAAGTCTGTACGAGATTTACCATCATCTCTCCGAGCTGCGAAGATCGGCCAACGAAGCCCCAAAAACTTCATCGACTAAAACAACTCCGCTCTCTTGCGAGTTTCTGCGGATATGCAGTCAGCGTCAATCAGCCTGCTGTGGAAAGAGCGCTGCTCGGATTCCTCTTATGAACGCAAGTGCAGGAAGGGAGAAATTTGGAGTTTCTGTCGACGAATTAAGATCGAAGACTTCGTTCTTACGTCGAGGAATTGGAGAAGAGGTGGGCCGATATGCGATATCGTGATGACAGGTACGAATGAAGACGTTAGTGATTCCTAGGAAAATTCACTGATTGTAGGGGCTACATGTGATACAGGAGGTGGGCGTTACATTACTTACATGGTTTCTGCTTCAATGAGAGAGCGAGGGCGAAAGTGGTGTAGGGCATAGGGCACACTGCCTCACGCGCATGGTCACGGGTTCGAATCCCGGATCGATATCCGCCTAAGTTGACCAAGCCTTCAACCTCTAAAGGGTCGGTTTATTGGTAACAGGCTTGTCTGAGAGGACGAAAGCACTGACTTTTACATCGGCTGGCCACCGCAATTCGTTGTATAGACCACATACGCATTCACTGCGCCACTAAAACTCTGAATGGAAGTCAAATGCGTGGGCGCACCCTTCGGACGGGCTTGATTAACGCCCCAAAACTTTAAGACTTTATTAAGGAGTCCAGTCTCATACCTCTTCACCTTGCCCCTACTGCCAAGAAATGATCAGAGTTCCATCAGTGCTTTTCCTCCCCATCTGCAATGATTCCAAGAGGAAGCCTATCGTGTTTCAGGAAGCGTATCTAGGAATCGTGCCATGCTTTCTCCATTGTTATCGTACTGCCCACGCGATCTGTCTCCACTGAAGTCAGCCGCTAATACGGCTCCGACCAAACGTTATAGGCATCGGGGCAACGTTCTCGAGTTATTCGAGGTGAGCTTCTCGCCCTTCTTTCCTTTCAGTTTCCTTCCTCAATTATGCTTTGAATTTTAGTAGTATTTTTTTCACAGAAGCCAAAACCAACGAGTCAACCAACGCCTGAGGTTACACCACGTTCCTTATTCATGTCATCATCTAATGGTGATATTCATAAATGTATCATCAACGTATCACAAGACAACGACTATGGCTATGAGCAGATTCGATCAGGCATATCATTTCATACTCCTTCACATATTTTGAATTATTTCAAACTGATTTACACGTCTATCTTTGTTTTACATTTCAGAGTCATCTTCTTCCTACATGCCGTGGACAACATCTAAACCGCTAGCTTACTCATCACACATATCTATGCCTAGCCCTAAAAACCATGAAAATGTGCCAAATTATGAGGTGGTGAGGAAATTTCTACTTTTTCTATAACCTAAACAATTTTTACGAATTTCGATATATAGGCATCACCTGCCACCTTTACCACCTGTCGTCTCTTTGATCATAGTTTTTCTCGCCGGCGCCACTCCCGCCTCCACTCGTCCTTATCGCAAATCATAGCGGTCCAGTAGATTCCTTGCTTGAGGGTTTTAAAGCACGACATTCCTTTCATTCAAAGCTTTGGCAAGAAGCCTGACCATCGTACTGGCGGCCGTCCTGGTGTACGTTTGACGTCTCGAGGGATTCAGCCAGTAACCACCCTGGTCCATTCCCTGGGCGTAGGCGACGGCATCCCTGACTGGATGTTCATCCTACTTTCGTGGAGTCCACGTCTCCGAAGCGCAAGTCAAAGCAGAAATGACCGCGGTGTCAAAAAGAGAAGCGCGGAGCCGGATCACCTGCGATTATATTGTTGAGTGAATTTCATCCCATGCCGAATAGAAGAGCAAAGGCTCAGGATCCCCCTAAGCCCATTATTTCATCATGAAACTGTGATTCTCATGTCCATCCCAAATGAGAGGGCTCTTGGAAATGCGTATTAGCCATAATAAACTCGGGCAGTCTTCTTCCCTGCTCATTCCATTCCGTTCCGTGAGTCTCGATATGTAGCTCTTCACGCGTTAATCTAGGGTGAAAAATGTTCGGTTCTCTCTGAAAAGCCTTTCCAGGTCCAAAACACTTCCAGCTCTTCTTTTTCATAGCTTGGTATCGTTGCGTTGAAAACGAAGGTTTGACTCTGGTTGAGCCATATCTCGAACGAATACGCCCGATTGGGATTTGGGTTGGCCTCTCGTCTCGGTCACTCTCGTGACGTCGTACTTCATCTTGCTGGCCTGTCTAGCCACCCAGAGTCATCCCAACCCCCACGTCGGAGCCTGAAAAACTATTTGCGGCTACCCATACTTGCACATACTTTTTGAAATATAATGCGAGGCCATTCGTAAGACCATATAGGCATGCCTGCATAACGCGTGTATAGGGGGAGGGGTAGGTGGTATTCAAACTGTTCCTCGAGCATGTAGTAGTACTTGTACTAACAGTGATTAGTGAAAGTGCGTTGGGTTTACAACAACGTAATAGAAGGATCAAGTTTTCAAGCATTCATGAATCCCGTCTGAGGGATGCGACCCTCAGACGGGATTCATGAATGTTTTTAAACTTGATCCTTCTATCACATTATTCGGTTTCCATTCAGAGTCGTAGTGACGTATTGAATGCGTATTTGGCCCGAGGCAATGACTTGCGCCGGTCAACCAATGTACAGGTCAATGCTTTTGTTGTCCCAAGTGGATCTGGTTCCATACTCCGGAGGAATAGAACGCTTGGTTGGCCTTGGCGGATATCGATCCGGGATTCGAACCCGTGACCATGCTCGTGTGGTATTGCGCCACTTGTCACCGCACCACCTCCGCCCCCGTGGAATTCATCGTATAATGAAAAAACCCTCCATGCTGAAGTTAGCCTTCTGTGGATTGTGTTTGTGTACTATATGTAGCCCTTACGACCAGTCATCATGTGAAAAATTGAAGCGATTCTCTGCAAATTGAACTCTGAGCGAAGAACGCATGATGTTTTTCAACAAATGTTTATTCAAACGAAATAGATTAACTACGCATCATTTCATCGCACAAGACTGCTCGGTTACCGAATGAATTTACTTTTTCAGAGTTATTGCGCAGATCTTAACACATCTTTTCAGCCCATGGATATAACTAAAGGAAAAGGTGGAAAGAAAAGCTGGTCCACTCAAGTGGGAGGGCTAATAGGGAAGAAGATACAGTCGTATCCAATCGAAGTGACTCGTTTATAATCTCTTTTCGATTCGGTCTAGAACTGTTCACTTCACATGATTACCGGGTCATTTCTTTCACAAAGACACCGAAATCAAAAAGTCTCAGCAAAATGCACTACTGTTCTCAATATGGACGACTCAGGCTTTCAAACTTTGTATCTATAGGTCACAATTTCAGATAGGCTTACACCGGAACTTCCAGCCACTGCAAGAAAAAAGTAATAATCGAGAAAACCTATCCGAGTGATTACTTGCCCTACCTCTGTCTTTCTGCAACTATTTGTAAGATAAGGGCAGTTGGAATTTTCCAACAACTGCATGATTGCAAGCTCAGGTTAACCAAAAGACTCTAGTTAAACCATCCCAGATAACACAATCGTAAACAAAACCTTTGCGCAATATTAGTTCAGAGAAAAAGCAATACTTCAGGCAAGGCAGTTGGTTGCACGTGTCGCCGTCAACACCTAGTTCGTCTCCGCTTTGGGTTTTATGTCAAACTCTTCGCCTTCAAGGATGCTTCCATGTTATTTATCTTCGCGCTTACTGATGTGGCAGTAGAGCAGCGTGACAGTTGTACTACTACTACATCAGAGAGCACGAAAGACAAACAACATGGAAGCATTTCGGTAATGGCTAAGACGCCTTATACCGTGATAGTATGATATAGTTTCTGATTAGAAGCTTGAAGGACTCGAAGCAGTCAGACTCACTCCACAGTTTCCAGTGAGTTACAATGAAGCCTAATAGCGGTCACCATACATTTCTCTGCACTGTTGGTTATATCTCTGGAAATTCCTTTCTTACCTCTTACGATACTGCCTCACACAGTGTGACTTGATTTTAATGAAATTAAACCGAAGACGACTCAGAGTGATCAGTATGTGCCGGAGTGAAATCAGTAATGGTAGTAGGGATCTGGGTCTGTAAGACTGAGTCAGCCAATACTTTCCCGGTAGTGCATTTACAGAGCGGTGTACATCTTGCGGATAGTGTATCATGAACATGTATGCAAAAGCAGCTACGATGTTCCGATGTAATGTAAGACCTCATTTTGCTATATTGCGGATAGATTTGCAAGGAGGATCGCTGAGTACAGTACATCGAAACTCTCATTGTTGACTTCATAAATAGGAATTTAATGGGGCCTTCAATTGATTCTCATTTGAAATCAGTCATTTGCGTAAGCCTGTTTTGAGCTCTGAAGACACAGAGCTCAAAACAGGCTTGCGCAATACCTTGCAACGAATGTTGTAAAGTTCTAAAAGGTTGTTTGGCAACTGTCATAAAATGGCTCTCTTCCTCTAAATCTGAACATATCTGTCGGGGAAATGGGCTCTCATTTTATGTGTTTGTGTGCAACAGGTGTTTTATTATTGAATTAAAAATTCATTCGAATTTGCTCTGATCACAATCAATAAGTGCTATTACCTGTTATGCTTTATCGAAAAATGCAATGAGTCTTTATGAAAGTGAACGGAATAAATGTTTTTATCTTTGTGTGGAAGCCCTTGAGCTGTCGACTTTGATGCGGAAGAACGAATAAAAGCGAACAGCATTTTTCATACATGCAGAAATTCATCATCTCAATTTGTAGAAGAAGTCAGAACCAGTTATCTGGCAACAACTTGGTTTGGTCCGAATTTCTTGACCACTTGCGTTCGTATAGGCTTTCACGAACTCCCCTCCTTTATCACTGACAGACAAGCGTATCTCCCCGGCCTCGTTTCCGTAATTCTGTGAAGCCTTGCCTTTGTGAAGGGGTTAGGTCAAAATCAGGATGTCTGTCTGCGAACTGCCGTACTACTCTCTAGACAGATTTAGCTAGAAGACGAAATTTGGTGTCTAAAACAGCATGCGGCTCTTGAGGTTCGAAATATGCGCATGGAGAAGGTAGAGTAGGGAAAACTCTGTTTCCTTGGACGCGCCAACCTCCCGCACTTTGCTCTACATCTGAGCCGGTCCTGGAGGGTCAGTAGGTTGCCCACGATCTTACGTGCGACCAGACGAGTAATTGATTGAGTTGGTGCAAAACTAGGACCAAGTT